TTTCGATCATGGATTACAAAAAATTCGATCATGGATTACAAAAAATTCTATCATAGGTTACAAAAAAAAAAACAACAAAAAATTCGATCATGGATTACAAAAAAAAAAAAACAATTCGATCATGGATTACAAAAAAATTGATCAAGTATTACAAAAAAATCTATCATGGATTACAAAAAAAAAAAAACGACTCGCCGATTCCGTACAGTGAATCGGCGAGTCACTGTGCAGAATCGTCCGATTCTCTCTAAAACCGGACGATTCTTGTTTTTTTCACCGATTCGATCCGTCCATGGCGATTCCCGAACCGGACGAGTTCGATTCGACTTGGCGTTTTTTTAACACTCGGTCAACTGGAATGGGCGGCTGATCGTTCGGCGAGTCTATCCGATTTCTTAGGCACCGGTCGGACATCTACATTTCCACGTAAATATCCTTGGAGGTGTGATTTGGTATTAAAAGGGTTTTGCTTTTTGGATTTGAAGTTGAATGGCCTCCTCTCTCTCTCTCTGAGCGGACTGTCATCGTCTTCGCGTTCTAATGGTGCACTCTCTCAGCACCCACTCTCTCTCTACTCTCTTTCTCTCTCCGTCACCAGCCCCATCTCACCATTTCTGTTTCATAAGAAGAGCATCCTCATCCACCTCCCTCCATTTTAATGGCACCTTCTGCAGCCAAGACCCAATTTCAGAGAAAAAAACTCAAAGCAAAAGAGCAATGAAAGCTTTGAAGGAATGGCAGGAATATGAAGAAGCAGTGAGAGAAAGGGACCTCGGTCGAGCCCTGAAGTTTCTGGAATCTCTTGAGCCCCTTCCTTCAGATGTTCAAATAACAACTGGAGGTGGGCTAGTGAGAGATTGGGAAGTGCTCGATGCTTGCTTAAATGCAGATGATATGAAGATGGTGGGGAGTGCTTATGAATTTCTTCAATTGAGGGGCTTCTTGCCCAATTTCGGGAAATATAAGAACAGGGGTATGTTTTCTCTGCAATTTTTTTTTTTTTTTTTTCAGTTGGGATATTATTCTTCTCTCTCTTTAAAATTTTCGATCATAATACTCTTGCACTGAAGTAGCTTGATTGCTTGCTCTTTATTTTTTTTGGTTTTGTAAATGGGTATGTGCCTATTGAGAATTTTTTCTTTTCCATCTGATTTTTCGATTTTGCGTTGACAAATTTTTTTTAATACTTCTAAGTTAAAGATAGATAGAGAAAGAATTTGCATTGGTCTTTACATTGTCCGGGATTTTTTATGCTAATCAAGTGCATCAGTGGTGAATGAACCTTTTATGGGAGCAATTTATGCTTTGAGACAGGTTTAGAGAGCTACTGATTATATATTCCAACTGCATTGTGAGTTACTACTGCTTTGCTTTGAGCATTGTTTGATGTGGTGATACCCATAAAAGCTTGGCTTCTATGTTAATTTTTTGTAATATGATCAACTTTCTTAGATCTTTTAATGTGAGTTGTTCTGCTGTTGATGCTGTGTTACTCTTCAAATATTTCTATGTTTGGGCATGCTTATTGTGGATGAATCAGGAGTTACCATTGAGGCCTAGATCTTAGTCCGGACGTGGAAGGATTGTAGGGTTCTTGAGAACCCCTAGCTTGCGGAACCGGGAATCCCAAATATCGGGGTCCCAACCAAGATCATGTACATGATTGGTTAAATATGAAGTGGATGAATACAACTATAAATCAAGTGCAAGAAATAAAACAAACATAAAAAGCACACCACCACAACACACGAGTTACGTGGTTCACCTCATAGGGCTACATCCACGGCTTCGGCAAGTAGAAATCCACTATCTCAATGAAACAGTTTTGGGTTACGAGAGATAATACCTATCTCTTGTAACCCAAAAGATAGGTATTATCTGTAAACATCGGTAAAAGACTATCACCGATCTTCCCTTCTAAACTCACTCTCCCGATTGAGCAAGACCGTCAATCAATATCTTCTTTTTCACCGCAATACCGCTACCTGAAAGATAACTTCAAGAGCAACGGAGAAACTTTTTCTCTCTAGAAGTGGAACTTTAACCAACCAAAACTCATGGGAATACCGCTCTCTCGGAGGTATTATGTCTTTATTAACTCTATTTTATAGATATCACTTTCTTATTTCTCTATACAGTCCATTTTCTTTTTACAATAATGCCCTAATTTTTATAAGAAAATATACATATGGTGATTTGGCTATCACCAAACCCAACAATCTCCACTTTAATAGCAAAATCATCATAATTGCCTTGGCAACCTTCATTGAATAGATTTCTTGATTTCTTCTCACTTGCTTCCATTGTGGGATTTTCACAAACACTTTGTTTTCATATTTCTCTACCTCAAATCATGTATCCATCAAACTCTACCATTCATCTTTTTCTTAATGTAAGCTTTAGCCCCGTACACACCTTGTGCTTTGATACCAATTGTAGGGTTCTCGAGAACCCCTCTTTTTCGAGCAAATCGGGATAACATAAATCCCTACCTGATGTGGTGAGCACCCCACAATAATGAATCCAACAACCCAAATAAAATACCCCAAGAACAATATTGTGTGTGCATTATATTTGGGAAAATTATATAATCAAGAAACAAGTAATATGGGAAATTATTATAACCACAACACAAGCAAAAAGTTGAAGACGCACGGATTAATGTGGTTCACCCAAAATCAGCTACATCCAAAGGCAAGAGGGCAAGGATGCATTCACTATCTCAAAGAAGAAATTTACAAGTTTAGAGTTTTGTAGATATGGCGTTATACATAGAAAGAAAACTCAATAGAAATTTCCTACCATAATCCCACCATCAATTGAATCATTGCTTTGTCTCCATCGACTAACACCGTCGCCACAAAGAAACCCCGATCAAATTCGCCCCAGTAGTAGAGCCACAATGGTGCTAGGGTTTACGCAAGAAACCACCAATATCTACCTCCTAAAGCTTCTCTCCACTTTTCTTTTTTTTTTCTCTTCTTTTCTTATGTTTTCTCTCGCTAAAAATGTCTTTTATAGACCTCCACAAATGACCTATTTTTATGACAAAAATGCCTTTTAACAAAAGAAAAATACCATAGGGGGTGATATTTGCATCACATCCCAACAATGGTATCAGAGCTCTAGGGAAGTGTGTTGTAATTTGGAAAAATGGCATTTCACAAGTTGAGGGGGATAAGTTTCATGGGAAAGATAAATTTGAAATTTGGAAATTAAAAATGCAAGATGTATCAGTACATCAAAGGCAACACAAGACACTACTTAGAAAAGATAAGAAACTGGTAAATATGACCGATGATGATTGGGACGAACTTGATATGAAGGCACAGGCCACTATTCGCTTGTGTTTAGCGAATGAAGTATTGTTTACTATTGTTGGCGAAAAGACGACAAAAGATTTGTGGGAAAAATTGGAAAGTTTGTATCAAACAAATTCCCACACAAACCGAATTTTCTTAAAAGGAAAATTGTATTCCTTGAGAATGAAAGAGGGTGCCAAAGTGTCGGAACACTTGAATGAATTCAATACTATCATTTGTCAACTTGAAAGTATAGGTGTGAGAATGGAAGATGAAGATAAGGCGGTCACCTTACTTTGTACATTGCTGGAATCCTATGATAACCTTGTCATTACTACATCGAGTTGCAGCAAACAAGATTCTCTTGATTTGAGCTCAGTTTGTAGTCAACTTCTTGCCAATGAAATTCGAAAGAAAGCATTGATGGATAATTCAATGGGTTCAAGGATGGATGTCCTCGTGCCAAGAGGCCTGTTGGATGAACAAGTTTGTTCATCAAGAGATTCCTCAAGTAGCCGATCAAAGTCGAGGGGGTCTTATGACAAAGGTTGTTGGTTTTGTGGCAAGCTTGGCCACATAAAAAAAAAGTGTTGGCAAAGAAAAAGACAAAATTCCTCAAACTGTTTTGGTTTGGGAATGGAAGGGAAAGGTGAGGCCAAGAATGAGGCTCACCAAGTTGAAGAATCAACATCTAGTTATGTTGAAGATGAGGTGTTGATGGTGGGATGCAATCCCATGTACTATCAAAGATGGGTTTTTGATAGTGGTGTCACACTTCATATGTGCCCACATAGATCGTGGTTTGATGCATATGAGCCATGTTAAGGTGGTTTGGCATCAATGGGAAACAATTCAATGAGTAACACGATTGGTATGGGCTCGATTCTCATAAGGATGTATGATGAGATGGTTCGGACATTTGAAAATGTGAGGCATGTACTAGATTTGAAGAAGAGCTTCATTTCACTATCTTCTCTAGATATGGAAGGCTACAAATTTCCCGGGCAATGTGGAGTGCTCAAATTTTCAAAGGGGGCTCTAGTTATGATAAGAGAGTCCGGGAAGGAAACTTGTATAAATTGTTAGGGACCACAATTATAAGTGAAAGAGTAAATTTGGTTGTAGAGAAAGATGAAGCTCAAGAGGAGATACATGATTTGGCAATTGAAGATTTTGGTAAAATAAAGTAAGGTCTTAATGAAGTCATTCGGCAAGGTGGAGAAATTGAAGATATGAGACTCTCGCAAGGGAATGTGAAGCTGGAAACACCTCATGAATTTCCTTTAGGCCAATGGTCAAAATTTGGTGAAGGAATGACCGATGTGACTAGAGTGTTGCATGCTACTCTAATGTTGATTTTGATTATCGCCATGGTTTGTATAAGATTTGTTATTTCACTTCTTTTTAGTTTTCTTGATTGGCTTGTGTTTAGCCTAGGAAGAAAATGTTGGAATGAAGTGAAATGGGTACTTCAAAATTTGAGAAGTATGGGCAAGCATTGCTAATGTTATGAACATAAAGAAGGCTTCGTGTGAGATACTTATGCAAGGAATCTCGGTGATATGAGATCAAGCACCGGTTGTGCTTGTAGGTGTGTGGATTCACCTAGAGCATGTGTGAAGGCAAGGTGGCCTCAAGAACTCAAGAATGAGAGTACTGAAGAATGTGGAGTTTGCATAAGAACAAGCACGAAGGAAGATGAGCAAAGCATGCTCATGTCAGTTATTAGGCCAGAGAGCTTGTGGAATTGGCTAAGTTCTCTAGGTTCTTCAAAAAAGAAATGACCAGATATGGTTTGGCAAGGCAAAAGTGCGATTTTGCATCAAGGTGGAGATTATTGGGATATGGTGTAAATATTACTCCTTATGGTATTTCTTTTTTGTTAAATGTCATTTTTGTCGTAGAAAATGGGCCCTTTGTGGAGGTTTATAAAAGACATTTTTAGAGAGAGAAAACATAAGGAAAGAAGAGAAAAGAAAAGAAAGGTGTAGAAAAGCTTTGGGAGGTAGAGATTGGGGGTTTCTTGTGTAAACCCTAGCACCATTGTGGCTCTTGTATTGGGCAGGATTTGATCGGAGTTTCATTGTGGCGATGGTGTTAGTCGATGAAGACAAAGTAATGATTTGATTGATGGTGGGATTATGGTAGGAAATTTCTATTGGGTGAACCATGTTAATCCGTGCGTCTTCAACTTTTTGATTGTATTGTGGTTATAATGATTTTCCATATTACTTGTTTCTTGATTCTATAATTTTCCCAAATATATTGCACACAATATTGTTCTTGGGGTATTTTATTTGGGTTGTTGGATTCATTGTTGTGGGGTGCTCACCACATTAGGTAGGGATTTGTGTTATATCGATTTGCCCGCAAGAGAAGGGATCTCGAGAACCCTACAAGGGATACTATTTATGCATCTTTTTAAGTACTTTTATGATCGATAAATCACTCCTTATTTTCTTGGTTTGGGATTACGGTTCCTGATATTGAAGTTGTTTTGAGTCAAATGTTCGTCAGTCGACTGTGCATAAATCTCTTTTATGAGAGTTCTTTGCAGGTGCTTTAAATGTCAAACCTAAATTATTGAGAAAAAGAGAAAATAAGTTATCATAATGAATAGTATTATCCTCAAGGTCCTGGAGTTATAGCAGCTTTCATGTCCTATGTATCCTCCTTTACATTGTTTTTTATCGCGCACAACAAAAATCATTTATGTGAGACTTAAAAGAGCTGTCTATTCCTTGAAGCAAACGGTTTGTCACAAAGAATTTGGTTTTGAAGTTAGTGGTGCTCCACTTAATTGCATCCTCACCACCAGGTTTTCAAAAAGAAAAAAAGTGGCTTACCTTTTGTTTGCTGAATAAAAGGCAGTGTGTACCCCTCCTCAAGGTGTGCTTGAATACTTCTACTCAAGAAATGATTAAAGCGCACATTTGAGGCCTAAAGCCCAAAGACACAGGCCTCAAGCATATGATTCATGTGTCAAAGCCTACACCATGAGTCAGATTTGGACCTCAAGGTCCATGTTGACAGATGTATGACTCAGGCTCACACTAAATGGCTTGAGTATTACTCGAGGAGTGAGATTTGTACCCTTGTGGCCGAGGTCCAAAATATTCACGTCTTCAGACTTATAATATGACTGAGATATCACCCTTGCGGCACAAGAATGGAAATATATATCTTAGCAGCCTCGTTAGAAACTGGTCCTTAGCTCAAGGAATTGGCATCATTATGACAAATTTGCTTGTAAGTCAGCTCCTAATTCTGTAAAAATAATAGGTTGTATCCTTGTGGTGTTTTGGAAGGGTTCCCTAAAAATCAAAGCTCAACTGCTTTTGTTTTCCGGAAATTTTATTTCTAACGCATCTATCATGCCCTCCTCCCCCCTTTCTCTGTTTTGTAAAGTCAAAGTTCATTGGCATATAATGAGAGTCGTAAGCCTGTGGATATGCCTTCGCATTTGCACCAAGTGAAAAACATATAGAAATGAATGTAAGGTGTTTGCAAAGGCGTACGGCCTGTTTTTCCATCCAGATATGTCCCGGACAGGATGGTATGCAACGCGTGGGCAGTAGCATGCAGTTTGGAGCCACAAAGGGTTTTCAAGGGATTTAAGCCGAAAACAGGGGCTATCAAGGGCTGCTGCAAACCTGCAAAAAGTGTGGTTTTCATCTGTCCTGGAGGAGCGCTGTACTGTCCATCTTATCCTCTTCCCCAAACTGGCAAGTAAACAAGAGTTGCACCCAATGGATGCAAAAATATTATGGATCGGGTAATTTTGAAAAGCAGGAGCAAATTTATTAAAATGGAGATCCACAAACTTGTGAGGGCAAAACTAATATTATCCTTAGGTGTTCTGAAAACTTCAATGTTTGGTTTTTTAAAATATTTCTTTAGGGATTGAAACACTTTGGGGAAGATAAACAATGGTCATTGCCTTCTTAAAAAGAAAAGGTTTCAAAGGGTATATTTCTTCCTAACTGAAGTAAATCTTAATAAAACCTATAAAAGACTATTGGAGTTCTGTGAAGTCAATAGATGAGTAAGAAAGATGGTCTCATAATTGGCCATTTTTTTGAGTTTTTCCTATAATTTTCCATAAAGATGTATTCAGAGGAACAATGTTGGGAGTTGGCTCTTAATGAGGTTTTCCATTATAAGAACATAATCAAAATTATCTTTGGTGTTTCTAGGTGGGTAACGAAGCTAAGGTCGATCCTTTGTGAACCATTCCACTGTATGCCATGTTGAGAATTAAGTGTTCTCAGCCTATTTGGTCTCTTGAGGGTATGTGATTCTCTGGAGGTGGATTCCTGCTCACTGTTTACTGAATTTAGATTCTCCTCCTAGTTTCTTTTGAGCCCTCTGCTATTGGACGGTGAGGTGGCCAAGGTATATGATGTGGAGATGGCATGAATCACTGTTAGATTTATTTTCATAAGAGCGTGAGATTTTTTGGGCTATTATGGTTTCCCTTTGCCATGTAATATAGGATTATTGAGTTTGGGATGGGCTTGGGTTAGAGGTTCTGGTCCTTTTCTTTCTTTTTTGAGATAGCGCCTTATCAAATCTTTATTTATGTTAAATTGTAACATTGTCCTTTTTGTTTTGTTATGTTGTAATTGAGATTGCTCAATGGATAATTTTATCACCATTTAAATGAAAAGTTTTAACTTTTTAGGGTGTCTTGCTGCATTCCTTGTATTGATCAAGTTTGTGAATGCTTCAAGTCGAGGGACAAAGTTTCCTATTGTATTGGAATTTGAATTTGGGGTGTGGCTGTGCCTCTCATGTTCTGTTATGTTTGCAGTTTCTGTGGGATCAAGAAATGTGACACCAACTATTTTAAAGTCCTCAACTGGCTTGGATGGTAATTTTCTGTTTTACTTTTCATTGTGAACTTGTTATCTTTATATGTTTATACATGACTTGATTTTTAATGTTACATTATATCATTGTAGCTTCGAAGCTTTCACCCAAGAAGTGGGGACTTTCTGGAAGCTCTGGGGCCGTGTTAGTTACTTTTCTTGGTGGAGTCTCTTTCCTGTTGTCAAAAGGAATAGATATAAGACCCAACCTAGCTGCTGTATTGGGTCTAGCTTGGCTAGACTCAATATTTCTAGGTGGTTGTTGCATTGCTCAAATCTCGTTTCTTTGGCCACCTTACCGGCGTCGGGTCCTTGTTCATGAAGCAGGCCATCTTCTAATTGGTATGCTCTTTTTTATATTTATATATCTCATGGATTGCAAAATCTGCTTCCAACTTCACACATTTATAGAGATTAATATTGTTTCCGTTATCATTATTATCTCTGTTGTTGTCCTCATAATTCTACTATTTACCTCATAAAGCTCCATTTTAAATACACTGTAGAATGCCCTCTAAAATGGAGTGGCCTTGTAAAAAATGCCATTCTACTATAATTTGCTTCAAATTTGAGAGCCCAATGTATTGTCACCTTTTGCTGGAAAAAGTTCTGGAGGAAATAAAGCCAGAACTCTGCCAACCTGATAAATTTGCTCATACCCTCTAAATCCACCAATGCTTTCTTACATCAATCCCAGTGCTCCATTTATTTGTTCCCTTGCCCAACCTTTGTGAATCACATCGCTTCTTTACCCAAGGCTGGACCTGTTTCACGCTTTTTGAAATGGGGCACACCTTCTCTCTTCTTTTTTCATGGAAAATAATCTTTGCAGATACGAGTTTCATAATTGATTTCCACCAAATCTAGGGTCTCTAGTTGCAAACAGCTTCATTTTGATGCAAATTCTACCAAAATGTCCTTATCATCCGTAGCATAGGTATGGTAACATCCCTATTATATTCCAGAGTCCTGGCAGCTAAGGATAGCATCATGTTAGATGCCCGGTAGCTCAAATTTCTCGGCATGTTATGCCTCGCAATCTCCAGGCAGGCGCTGCGTACTCTGCAACCATTTTGATGATGAGAAAACCTTCTCTTCGGAACGGTACTGCGTCCAACTAGGTACCCCATGTTTCCTTTCCCATGCTTATGCCACCTTCCATCTTCAAAGACCCCCCTAGTTTAGGCTCCCTATTAGTCATCTCTCACTCTAGGATTTCTCTTTTCTTTTGTTTGCTGGATATCTGTAGCCAAACCTCATTGCTGTGGCTGGGAGCTGCTCCAAACCAAGAAAGATGCTCGGAAGTTCTTTAATATTTTGCCATTTGCATATTATGTTCAACCTGGAGTTTGTAATTTGGGGGTAAGTCCAATAATTTCTGATGTTCTTGTGAAATTCAAAGTTATTATTTACTGAGTGCCAGAAATTTAGATTCTTTTCCGTACAAGCCTAATCCAGATAAACCTATTCCCCGAATTTCCAGTGGTAGATCTCCTTGTATCCAGATTTGCAGCCCAGTTGACTCTCCATAGGCAACCAAGCAAATTCTCATGTTGATGATAAAATGCCACCAAGGGTTGTAATTGAATTAACAAATCAAACAACACAATCAACACATTTGAGATGAGAAGTCCTGGGAGCCTGAAATATTTTGCTCACCACTCAAACTGCACGATTAGTATTTTGGGTAGTGATGGTCAAACAGAAAAGTGTGCCAGCCTCATTTAAGTTGTTGGAAAAGGGAGAATCGGAACATCATTTTTTGAGAGCTTCATGTTCAGCTCTACAGGATTGTTAACTTTCCTGAAATCTGTCAGATGCTTCCGAAACATAATAATCCAGCAATTGCTTCCACTGGTTCAGTGCCATCCTCTCAATGTTCTAGTTATTTCAGGCATAGTTGCGGCAACCATGTGGATAAGGCCACAGTTCCGGTTCATAACCTCGTCCCATGGTTCCATATGGGAATCTTGATTGGTTTACGGGTTTTCATTTTATGGCCCTCGTTTCCTCTAGTTTTAATCTGCGATTGCCCAAGTTGGGTACCTTGTTTCAAGTAGGTGTTTGCCTCACAGTTTCTCATTTTATGACCCTTGAATCTTGTAGTTCTCAACCGCGGTCCCCGAAAATGGAAACTGTGTTTCCAGTAGATATTAACCTTGATTCCTATAAACAAGATCATTGTTTACAAGTAGGTTTTAATCACGGCCCACATGGATAGGATTCTGATTTCAAGTAGGTTATAACTGTGGTTACCATAATTAGGATCTGCATTTTTAGTATGTTAAACCGTGAGTTGCATAAATAGGATTCTTAACCGCGATCCCCAAAAATTATTCATCCTTTCTCTTACAGTCTGCGAACGCTGAAGGATTGAAACGATCAACGCACATCTGATCTGGGACATTTTTGCCAATTGGAATCATGGTTCCGTCCTACATTTAACATTGTTTCCATTTGTTCGACATGAGCCAAGATGGAATCATGGATAGGCCTCCTTTAAATGAAGGTGAGGGATCGTGAATGTGAATCCTGATTCTCAAGGAGTGAATAGTCGAAACTCGAAACTCAGAAACCCCACTTGATTTTGGTCCTTCTTAGTCATGCATGTTGCATACACTCATTGTAATAGTCGAACTTCATATGCATAAGCATAGTTACAAAACTTGAAAGTTCATTTAGATCTCAGGTCTCAAACTTCGAAGATATGTATCTTGATCATTTATCATTGTTCAAACAATGGGGAAAAAAAAGACTTTAAAAAAAAGGGGGAAAAAATTTAGAATGGGGATAAACATGATATATTGGACTCAAAGAAGTGGGAGTCATGCAATTATGAGATATTTAAGTCAGTCATGTGATCAACACGAGACATTCATGCGATTGACTTTGACCTTGCACTATAGAATGTGTAGACTGTAGAGTGTAACAATAAAAAAAATATAGTGTACAGTGTAGAGTGGGGACACGTGGTGCATAAGATCTTAACACGCAATAAATGGAAGACATAAAGAGGTAGATGTCAAGACTTAAGACTTAATAGAGAGAAAGGAAGACAGCGTCCGTTACTTTGTTCTTATCTATAACCTCCTCACCGGTCCTTGTCATAAATTATTGTTCTTTTGAATGTAGAAATTGTTTTCTTTTGGACGTGAATTTTGATCACTCAAATCAAATTACGATTTCATTGGATTTGCTGGCATGCCCAGTGCTTTCTCACGTTAAGTTCTTTCTTTACATTGGGTAATAAGTAGCTGATTTCTGCAATTTATCTAATTAAAGCTTAAAAAAAACAGTTCAAGAGTCAAGACTTGATGCAAGTGACATCCCAAAAAAAAGAAATTATATATATATAGAAATAAAATGAGCCAACTTTATTTGATGTTGTTTGCGCACACATTTCAGATTATAAAGTAAGCATGATATGGTAACATAGCTCTCCTGCGAGAGAGAGAGAGAGAGACTTTAAGGTGTGATATATATCATCTTGTAGTTTCCTTGCCCTTACGAATGGATTGCAGTTTTGTGAAACAACTGAAGCCAATTATCCCCGAGTGGTTGAAGGTTGGATCACATGCCGTGACAAAGTATCATCTACCACATCATCAGTCTCGGTAGATGCAAGGGGGAGGAGAGGTCCTAGTGATGGATTAGGGGACCGGGCATCATCATCAGCGTCGAGGTGAGCATCTAACTCCCGTAATGACTCAACATCATCCTCGAGATGGTCATCCTCAGGGTGAGAATCCCAGTTCATGTATTTCTCTTGATAATTTGTGTGCAATGTACTCAGTAACCAATCACTGTGGTGAACATAGTCCAATGATTCAGAGCGATCAGAATTTAGATGATTGCACTTAACACTATGAATATAGCTGTATATGCTCCAATATCTTCTTGCACACGAAGAATTCACACTTTGTGATAACACTTTGACTGCTAGAGAATATAACTCAGGAATCCCACCGCGATATACAGCTTACCAAGAAACAGCTGACATTGTCCCTCAATTAGAAACGGATGCTGGAAGGGAAAAAATGCCTTTATTTCTATCAAAATCACCGATATGTTGTCGAATCCTCCCTTTCTCACTCTCATCTAGATATGACAAATCAAGCGTAGCAAGGTAACATGCTGAAACCTCATTATCATGGTGGGTGGTGGGGCTTAAGCCTCTTATCCCCTGTAGGAGTTCAAGTAGCCAGCCATTCTCGAGATTAATATTTCGGAGTCAACATATAAAGCAAAGGGAGATTAGTCCAGTTCCACCTATCGGCTACCAACTTTTTGAGTCTTTGATACAATAGAGGTTCAATGTACGGCACCAAATCAATTTCTTCTAGCATTGTATCCATGCGCTCGTATGCATTTCCCACCACAACTCTATCGGTATCTGCAAACTTCAACATCTTCTATATTGGCTGTGCAAACCTCAAAAAAAACTTATTCGTAGTCCAAATATTCTCATGCGTAATCACTTGTCGAACATTGCCACGTTTGGTATCTGATGGGCCTCATTGGAGACTGTCCAAGGCATCACTCAACACCAATGTAGTCGAGGCAGATCTTACTTCCAAAGCCGTCTCAACATTATATAGTGGTAACCGAATCTTGTTTTCTTAATTTTTAGTTTCTCAAGCTTCGAAAAGGCCTTGAATATGTCCAAACACCTTGTGTGATTTCTTATATATTTCACTACTCTCTTCACCTCGGAATAATGTGTGAGGAAAGCCAAAGATGCATTCTTCTGATCTTTATCAATAATGTCTTTCATTAAGAACAGTTAACATTATCAAAAACATAATTGTTTTTCATTAAGAGGCTCAATGTGTGAGCTAAAGATCCAGACCAAAAAATGTGGGGATGATGGCGCTGAATTATGTTTCCGGCACCCCTGACAGTTTGTAGCATTGTTAGTTACAGCTTGGACAACATTATAGGGACCAATCGAATCTATGGCTTTAAGAAGAATGTGAGCAGTGTTTTGGCTAGTTTTTTCAATAGATGAGCAATCATAACCGTTGAGGAACATTGCTTTCCCACGTTGACTAAAAACTCATTCTTAACATTGCTCCAACCATTCGAAACTACAAAAACTCCATATGTTCTCCACTCGGTCCTCAAAGAAGCTAATGCAAGATCAATCCTACTTCTCTCCCTATCAAGCAAGGTTGTCCTAATCTTGTCATGTTTTAGAAGCAAATAGCCCTTGTCAACATTGCTCCAAACATTGACTAAAGACTCATTCTTAACATTGCTCCAACCATACGAAACTACAAAGACCCCATATGTTCTCCACTCAATCCTCAAAGAAGCTAATGCAGGATCGATCCTACTTCTCTCCCTATCAAGCAAGGTTGTCCTAATCTTGTCATGTTTTAGAGGCAAATGGCCCTTTGGCACTTGGTTAATGGCATGTGTCATTTCATGAAATCTTGTGCTTTTGGTTACATTCAATGGGATGCCATTGGAATAAAAAAAATGGGCCACTGTAGCATCAAGTTCCTCCCTCACTTGTGCATTGAACATCGAAGGAATCTTTCCCTTCCCTTTAATTTCATTACGTGTCATCTTCGCTTCCAACTAGAACAAAGATGGATCTGCCGAGGAGCCTTTTGCCTCTTTTTGGAATATCCCCGAATAGCCTAACAACTTCTGCCTCTTCCTTTTTCAAGGCCTCGCATTCTTCTCCTGATGCATTGGGGTACTTTGAAATGCCTTGTGCTCCTTGACCAGGGGACAACCCCAACAGGTGGGTCCGGGCATACCTATGAACCTGTATATGGCGCTTGGCAATTAAAGTTGCAAGTCCACATCCTGTTACCACCACCGAACTTTGCTACCTCGTTTCTAGTGCCATATCTCCATAATGGGATTGTTATGATGTCTTCGATGTCCTCAATTGGAGTGACAGTGTCGTTTATAAAAATGTCCTTTGGGACATCAGACTTGTTTGCCATATGCCTTACAGAGTATGGATATTATTCAAGTCAGTCTATTATCTTGATTTGTAATGACATGTCTAAATTTCATAAATAGAATTGACATCCGCTAAAACCTTCGTGAAGAAACATCTTAAATTTTGCATGCCATGTATAAGAAAAAGAAGAGAGATGTCAAAGTCAAAGCATGTTACAACATTCACAAAACACCATCTCCATATATGGTAATAGGCTCTATCAACCCCTAAAACACATAGGTTGACATAGGAAAAAGAAGAGAGATGTCAAGGTCAAACAATTTAACAACATTAAAAAAACACCGAACTCCCAAAAACAGATGTTGCGTCAAATCAAAACATACACAAGATGCGTCATTGTATACAATCCTTTTTTTGTAAAAGGTAGCAACATTCCTTTTTCTTTTCAAGTTAACACTTGCCACAAATGATGCAAATTCTATGGTCCTATCCATGTACAGAATTTCGGGGTCCGATTAAAAATTTGGATTCACTTAATACAATAGAATCGTCTTATTCCTTTTGCTCACATGTCAATGTTATCAGCCAGCCATGTTGTGATCAAGGTCATTGCATGCGTCAGGTGTTGTTAGCCTGGCCACATGGTGATCAAGGTCGTGGTGGGCCATGAAATGTTAATGGCTTCATTGCCCTTTGATGCACGGCTTACTCTTAAAAATTTTAGAAAAGAAATTTTTTGCAAAATTAAATTAAGTATAGAAAGCGATGATTATAGAGGATTCCAATGTGACTATTATTTATATACATTTTAAATTTATTTAATGTGAATCCCTTGGGTAGTACAAATATCTTAGAATTGTTATTTCCGAAGATTATGTGATCTTCTACTGTAGGTTTTGCATAATGTTTCTTGATTAGTGTATATTTCTTAAAAAATATTGTATTATTATTTTGATGAATTTAAGAATCCTATTATTTATGAATTTTCTTCTACCTCTGGCATTGAAACTTGGGAAACCTGTCAGTATTCTTCGTCGATCTTAAAGATGGACGTTTGTCTCGCCACTTATACTAAAGGTGCAATTATACTGCGTATTATACAATCAAAAGGGGAGAGAGGTATGTAGTATGTTTACATGTGGAGAAAAGTATAAGATTGTAGATAGCTCTTCGAATTCTGCCGACGTCTCTAATATCCTTCAACTTCCAAGAAAGTTTGTTGACACGTAGTTGTTTACTTTTCTGAGTCCTGCACATTTACCAATGCACAATCATCCGACAACGATTCCTTGGAGAGGATGTGTACAAGAATTTAGTAAGGTCGGGAAAATATGTCAGCATGTTATGTTTCGCTGTCTGAAAAGAAATCAGGCTATGTGGGCTTAAATTTTTACTTCTTGATAAAAAAAAGGTTTCCCTTTGGAGAAACATTATCGGGTATCATCCAAATTATTAATTTACTTCTCGGCATCTAAGATTTGCAGTTTGTCGAATCTATGGCCCTACTTAGAGGCATACAGAGTTTTTGGTCAGTCTTGGGGATAGTCTCTTTTAGTGGAGGGTGAGGTTAGAGACATTATCTCTTGGGCTTCCAAGACAGTGTCTCCCCCTTGGTATCTCGTGCCTATTTATGATGAGATTGAGCATCTTTGTAGGGATACGCCAATCTTATGGGTGCATACCTCGAGGACGTCGATCGGCTAGCCAAGGACGGAGCCATGGCCCATGCTGAAGAATAGGCCCTACTGCAGCTCGTTTTGGGTTGGGCACTAAGCACGCACTCTACTCGATCTCCTCTCGGACGGGGTCCTTTTTTGTTTTACTCGTTCCTTCATTTTTGGTATCTGTTTTGTACATTTTCAGATTACTGTGTAAGGGGATAATCTTATAACCCCATTTTGTATCGGGTCAGATGACCTATTCTTTTTTACCAAGAGTCACAGTTTTAAGGTACTCTTGGATGAACCTTCATCTCTTTTATCTATCCTTTTAATCAATACAATTGTTAACAGTAATCAAAAACATTTGTATGATATTAAATTTCTATTTATTTTACGAGATCTTTCTCTCTCCTAGATACTAACTTTATCAATAAGTCTATCAAATTTATCCACTTATTGCCTAGATTATCACAATTGTAAATTTATAATATAGTAAATACAGTATATATCGTATTCATATAATCATAATACTCCTAGTATAATTAACTAACTAATTGTTGAATGTTACATCCTAATTAACTATAGGATATTACATTCTATTACAACTAATTATTAAAAAGGAGCAAATTGTTTTAATCATCTACAAAATCTTAATAGATATGTAGTATGCTTAATTAATTATTATAAATAAACAAATCACATGATAAAAAAAATCATATTAATATATTACTTTAGATCGCTTATATGCGAATGTTCAGTACTAGACTAATCTCTATATTACTAGACTAATCTCTATATCATAACAAAGTAACAAACTAATTGTGTAAAGGGACTGAAATGTTTATCTTTTACTATATGTTGTTTGTTGAGTACTAAATTAGTAAGCATAGGATTCATAAGATTTTCCATACCATGTCATTCCCATAAAATGACATGAGTATTAAAATCTTAGGACCTTGACTAGATTTTGGTGCCAGGGGACCTCTAATACGCTGTAGTAGATAGGGGATTTAATAATTATATAATACATTATTTGGATTTCGGGGATGGAAAGGCATATTGGCAGTATCCATAATATAGGTGTATTACAAGTTACACATT